TTACAAGTACCCCACTAACTCCCAGAGTTTGAGCTGCTGAGTCTCAGGACCTGAACATGCTTGGCAGTCACTGCCAATCACTACTGAGCACTTAGCATGTGCTGAGTCTCGAGGAAAAGGAGATGTGGCTCCTGGCCCTGGGAAAACGTAGGGTGGCAATCTGGAGAGATACAGATTCATCAGATGTTGACCGAGGGCTTCCTGGGGCCTGGGAACTGTGCTGGATGCTGGGGTCATAGCAGGGATACCTAGAGATGGCTCCCGCCCTCTTGAAAGCCAAAGTCTGGCAAGAAAGGCTTACGGTGAACAAATGATCACGATAAGTATCTAACTGTGATTGGGAAAAGTGCCAAGAAGAAGTACAAAGCGACATGACACCATGTGGCAGTACTCAGGGAGTAGTGTTCAAGACATCTTCCTGGGTGAAGCCACATTTAAGCCAAGGCTTGACTATCCACAGAATTGGCCCGGGGAGGAGGGAAGTGAAGAGCATGCCAAGAAGAGGAAGGAAAGCATGTGCAAAGGCCCTGAAGTAGGAAGGTGAGTGACTAGAGAGCTGCTGGAGATGAGTCAGGAGAGGTGGGCAGCGGCAGCCCATGCCAGGCCTCGTAGGCTGCTGAGAATCTTGCTCCTTACCCTGAGGGCAGTGGGAAGCCCTGCAGTGTTTACAAGGCCAAGCGAGGGGGCCAGCCCAAAGGGGGCCAGGATGCACTTCCTTCCAGAGAGCGCCTCTGTCGGCCAGAGAACTGCGAGCAGGGTCCTCCTCCTCTCCCTCTTTAAGTGCTTTCTTCCTGTCCCCAGAGAGCACTGTCCTGTCTTAGAGAGAGTCAGGCTGCAGATGGCCCCGCACTTGGCTTTTCCCCTTCCCAGGGACCCGTCACTCCCAGCCTCCCCTGGGTGTCTGTGCCTCTTGCCATTTGCTTGTAAGTTTCCTAATATAGCCGGGCTGTTTCCTTCCCAACTGGTGGCCAAGAGCTGCTCTCCTGTTGCAATCTTAGTTTTTCCAGGGCTTAAAGGGACCATGTCAGCCCATCTCACCCCCAATTTAAGTTAAAGGTAGATGGGTTGATTTAATTGCGCAAACTTGTCCAACCCAGAGATTAGATGTCTTCCCTCTTTCCCCCACTTTACCATCTTCTCTGCTCTGTTCTTGTTTACTTTTACTTTTTCACTCCCTTTCTTCTGAGACAAGTGGAAGGCACTCAGCTAGACATGGATGTGAGTTTTGGTTCTGGTGGATTTATTAGCTGTGTCATCTTGGGTACGTCTTATCATTAAAGATCTTTTCCAGCGGATAGAGCAGAAAGGAGAGAATAACCAGTTACAGAATGCATGTTCATCATTCATTCATTCATTCAACAAATCTTTATTGAGCACTGATCTGGTACTGTCGCAGGCACTGAGGATACAGCAGTGACAATAAAGAATGAATCTGTGCCTCTGTGGAACTTACATTCCAGTGTGGCTGGTCACTGAAGGGAGGGGAGCCCTGATGTCCCTCTTACCTCTGGCTGCTCCTGCCTGCTGTCCACAGGGGCTGCAAGCACCAGGGACCCTCCCCAACAAATTAAAACAGAATTGGTGGTGGTGGGGCCTAGGGAGTCTGTGCTTTACATTCAGAGCTTCTAAAGTGGCAGTCAGGATTGAGAACCTTGGGCTCAGAAAGACCCGGGTTTGAATCCTGCCTTCTTAGCGCTCAGACCACCAATCTCCCCTCCTGTAAACAAGCATCATCATGGGACATGTTTCACAGGACCTGAGAGGTTTAAGTGAGTCCTCGACACTGTGCCTGGTTCTCGATGGGGCTCTTCATGGCGAAAGGCTGGGACAGGGTAGGAATGGGGGCCGGAGCTGGAGCAGCCTGTCCTGGGAGGGACCAGCAGGGTGGCATCACATGGATGTGCTACCCTTCCCCTCCAGAGTCACAGTGCCCCAATTTCTAGAAGTCCTACATTTCAAAGTTAGGCCAAACCTTAGTGAGCTTCGTGTCCAACACGTCATTGACCGACAGGGCAATGGAGGCCTTAAGAAGAGAAGAGAGGTGCTCAAGTTCACACAATGAGATGGAATTTCTGGACAGGTTCAGCCAATCAATCAGCAAATATAAATATATGTATTTTTTAATCCTAACCTGAGGAAATGTTTCCATGTATCTTCAGATAGAGAGGGAGGGAGGGGGAGAGAGAAACATCTATATGAGAGAGACACATCAACTGGTTGCCTCCTGCACAACCCCGACCAGGGCTGGGGATGAACCACAACTGAGGTACATGCCCCTGACCGGAATCGAACCCGTGACTCATTGGTCCACGGGTCAACGCTCTAACCATTGAACCAAACCGGCCAAGGCTAACCAGCAAATATTTGTGGAGCACCTCTCTGTGCCAGGCACTGTTCTAGGTGCTGGGGATACATCGGAGAACAAAACAGCTCCTTGCCCTCACAGAGTTTCCATTCCAGCAGGAAGAGAAAAGCAATACTTATAATAAATCCATCATATGGTATGTTAGAAGGTGACGAAAACCATAGGAAAAAGTTAAAGATATTGGGGATGTCTGGGTGCTTGCAGGGGTGTGGGTAGATTGCAGTTAAAAAAATTTTTTTTTTCCTTTATTGATTTTAGAGAGAGAGGAAGGGAGAGGGAGAGAAACATCGATGAGAGAGAACATCGACTGGCTGACTCCCGCATGCCCCCCACTGGGGGTCGGGCCCACACCCTGGGCATGTGTCCTAGCCGGGAATTGAACTGGCGACCTCTTGATGCATTGGTCGATGCTCAACCTCTGAGCCACACCGGCCGGACTAGATTGCAGTTTTAAATAGGGTGGTCAGGATAGGGCTTGTTGAGCAAACACCTGACAGCCATCTGGAGGAAAAGAGATCCAGATGGAGGGAACAGCCTGTGCAAAGGCCCCAGTGGGAGCATGCCTGTCCGGTTGGCATTAGGATTCCCTTACCTGGCTGGCTGTTTCAGTTACCCAGCCGTTGTGGGCAGAAGGATTTATTGATAAGAAGGCCATTTGGGGTTTTTCGGTTAATCAGAGGAAAGTATCAGCATGTGTTTAAAACAAAAGCTCTGGGTCCTCCCACCCCCTCAATTCAGTGACCATCGTGTCAGGTACTGTTCTATACACTGGAGGCACGAAGATGAAGGCACAGAACTGGTTTTCAGTGGTGCTGTTGGGGACAGAAAGACCAAGAAGGTGGAAGAGGTGTGTGTGGGTGAGGGGAGATGATGAGTTGGTGGTGGCCGTGTCACATGTGGGGGGGCATCCATCTCCAAGCTGACATATGGAGCTATAGAGGGGAGGGGAAGGGGTTGGGGGATGTAACTGGGGGTGTGGGGAGTCAGCAGGACATAAATGACAGTTATAAAAAGCAAATGATTCAATCACCCAGGGAGGATGGGGAGAAGGTTTTGGATGAGCCTGAAGGTATTTTGTCAGCATTGTATCGACTTATTCGTACAATTCAGCTGACCTCACACACTAGCACAACTTTGTAGAATCATATTATTACACGCGTACCTTTCTTTCTGAGTTTTTCAGAGATACTAGCTCATTTAAGCCTCAAACAACCCTATGTGGTAAGAAGCAATTTTTATCTCTGATAGAGGAGGAAGCAGAGGCACAGAGGGGTTAAGTCACTTGCCAAAGGTTAAACTGCTAGTAAGGGCAGAGGCAGGATTTGGACCCAGCAGCCTGTTCCGCTGTCTGTGCTCCTAACTACTACTCTGCGCTGCCTCTTATTCACATGGTGGCCCGCTTACAGAGTCTTGTTTCAGGAGCTCATGTGCTCACTCATGGACATGCAAGGTCTCCTTGTACACACCACTATCCTGCATACACATGGTCTACAACCACACACACTCATTTATCCTAGAGTGTCTCCTCACACTGTGCTTTGTACTCAGATGGCTTGAACACTCAGAACTTCTCACACACCTAGACTGTCACCTCCATGGGACCTTGGGCACTACTGCAGAAACAATGCATTGCACACTCATGATCTCATATAGTCACGTTGCCTTGCACAAATACACACTCCCATGCTCTCCAACACAGTCCCATGCTTTCCATTGTTCACACGACTGCAAACTCACTGTCTTATTCACTAGCTTGGACACTCACATCACCTTACACACTAACATAACCATGCACACATTTAACCTCACATACTGACAGAGCCTTGCCTGCTGCACAACTTTGCACTTTGACCCTCTAACGGTCTTGCACCCTCCCTCAACTTTGCCTGTCCTTCCTTGCACACTCAAGACCTCGAATGCTCTCGTAAGTTTATGTTATGTCTCATTATGACATGTGCACATGATCTTGGTCATCCTCTGCACACACTGCCTTGCACATTCATGGTTCTTCATGCTCCCACTACCTTGCGCAAACCCACGAGGGAAAACATGCACATCACTGTACAAACTCAATGTCTGCCTACTCACCCTTGCACCTTCATTCTCTTTTGTGTGATTTAAAATCTGTGCACACATTTAAATTCACACGCAGTCTCACCTGCTCATAAAACCTCACACTTAAAATGGACTGACAACCTCAACCTGGCTTTATTTTGCATACTAAGGACCTCGGCATGTTCCCACCAACAGAAATATTCACACTATGTAAACCCCTTCTGGCTTGTCTGTTCGTGCCCTTGCACACTCGTTTAACCTCACTCCCAGGGCCTCACCTGCTTACACAACTTTACACATTGACACTCTGAGTCACAACCTCCCTCTCTCACACTTGTGACCTTGCCATGTTCCCACCGACGGAAATAGTCACACCACTGCACAAACTCGTGACTTGCCCACTGGCGTTCTTGCACACTCGCGCAACCTCACACCCTCAGAGCCTCGCCTGTTTTCCTAACTTCCAGCTCCTTGCTCTTCCAACGGCCTTGCCCACTCCTGCCCTGGCATACCCAGGTCACTGTGCACCTGCAGGGGCCCCATCGTGCCACGCCACTGACGCGCCCTCTCCTCCCCGCAGGGACTTACCAAGGCCAGTTCACCAACGGCATGCGCCACGGCTACGGCGTGCGCCAGAGCGTGCCCTACGGGATGGCCGTGGTGGTGCGCTCGCCGCTGCGCACGTCGCTGTCGTCCCTGCGCAGCGAGCACAGCAACGGCACGGTGGCCCCGGACTCGCCCGCCTCGCCGGCCTCCGACGGCCCGCCGCTGCCGTCGCCCGCCATCCCGCGCGGCGGCTTCGCGCTCAGCCTGCTGGCCAACGCCGAGGCGGCGGCGCGGGCGGCCCGGGGCGGCCTGTTCCAGCGCGGCGCGCTGCTGGGCAAGCTGCGGCGGGCGGAGTCGCGCACGTCCCTGGGCAGCCAGCGCAGCCGCGTCAGCTTCCTCAAGAGCGACCTCAGCTCGGGCGCCAGCGACGCGGCCTCCACCGCCAGCCTGGGCGAGGGCGGCGAGGTGGCCGACGAGGCCGCGCCCTTCGAGGCCGACATCGACGCCACCACCACGGAGACCTACATGGGCGAGTGGAAGAACGACAAGCGCTCGGGCTTCGGCGTCAGCGAGCGCTCCAGCGGCCTCCGCTACGAGGGCGAGTGGCTGGACAACCTGCGCCACGGCTACGGCTGCACCACGCTGCCCGACGGCCACCGCGAGGAGGGCAAGTACCGCCACAACGTGCTGGTCAAGGGCACCAAGCGCCGCATGCTGCCGCTCAAGAGCAACAAGGTCCGCCAGAAGGTGGAGCACAGTATGGAGGGTGCCCAGCGCGCCGCCGCCATAGCGCGCCAGAAGGCCGAGATCGCCGCCTCCAGGTAGGACCCCGGGTGGGCGCAGGTGGGATGGGCCCTGCTGAGGAAAGGGTTCTGGGACCGGGCCACCTAGGAGGCCCTGTCTCCAAGCCTGTTTCAGCTTTTTGTTTGAAACCACCAGAGCGTCCTTTATGACCTTTAGAGAGTTAATTGGAGGAGCCTCGGGATCTGGTGTCATCTGTTCTCCCACCCAACCATCCATCCATCCATCCACCCACCCACTCTACTCCTGTCCACACACTTACCAACCAACCCCTCCATACACTTAATCCTTCCACTCACCCAACCTTTCTGATGTCCACCTGAACAACCAACTCTTCAACCGATCTACTCTGCCCACCCACCCACTCCACTTTCTGTTTATCCACCCAACCACCCAGATACGCATCCAACCACCCAATCATCCATCTGTTCATGCAACCCCTCCATTCACCTAACTTCTGTACTACACACATAACAATCCCTCCATTCACTCAAGCCCTCTATCCATCCAACTCAACCTCTCTAACATCCCTCTGACCAATCACCCATCCACCTAACCATTTTTTCATCCACCCCCATCCACTCATCCAGCTTTCCATCTCTTTACCTACCCAACCATCCAATCACCCATCCAGCCAGCCATGCAATCACCCAGACACCTATCCAAACATCCAGACACCCTTCAACCATCATCCATCCCCTCATCTACTAACCACCCACATTCACTCAACTGTTTTCATCTACAAGGCACCATCATAATAGCCAACCATGTTTCCATCCACTGAAACATCCACTTCCAGTCACCCAGTCATCCAGCCATCCATACGTCCAACAACCACCTCCATCATCCAACCATCCTTCCTTCCAACAATCTGTCCACACTTCCATTTACTCAACCACTCTTACCTACCCATTTGCCAGCCCTGCATTCATCTACCCTCCTTTCATCCATATTCAGACCTTTTTATGTTTTCTCATTATATTTCAGAAAAATTTCTGCTGTTGTCTTCAAATATGTGTAGCACCTACTGTGGGCATGGCGCTATTTTAAGTGGTTTACAAATATTGACTCATTCTCTTGACTTAAGGACTTTATAAGATCGATATTATTTTTATTTCCATTTTACAGATGAGCCAAATGAGGCTTTGAGAGATAAGGTGACTTGTCCCAAATCGCCCATGTACTAAGTGGCCCTTCGTAATTTAGTTCCTACATTCCTATTCAGCCTCATTTTCTACCATTCTTGATCTGGACCTAGATTTTTTTCTCTGTGCCAGTCACACTGGCCTTTTATCAGTCTTCTTTAGTTCTCCTGCCAGAGGGCTTTGGTTTCTGCTGGTCCCTCTGCCTGGACTGCCTTTCTTTCCCTTGCCCCCTTAATTCCTACTTCTCCTTCAGAGCTCAGGTCAAGCCTGAGCCACTTAGCAGGCTTCTGAGCCCGGCTGGTGTGGCTCAGTTGTTGAGCATCGACCCATGCACCAAGAGGTCACTGGTTCAATTCCCGGTCAGGGCACATGCCTAGGTTATGGGCTGGATCCCTAGTGGGGGGCATGCAGGAGATGGCCAGTCGATGTTTTCTCTCATCGATATTTCTGTCTCTCTCTCCCTCTCACTTCCTTTCTCTCTAAAATCAAAAAAGGAAAAAAAAATTTAAAAAAAGAAAGAAAGCTGATGATGCTCAGCCCCTGTCACAGGCTATCACTCAGAAACATGGACATCTTCTTAGAATGTCTTGCAGCAACTTTATGCTGCTTACATGACTTGTTTTTAACCTACCACTTATGGGGGGGTTCCTAGGTGCCAGTCATTGTTCTGAGGTGTTTACATATATAAACTAATTCTATCTTTCAACAAATCTTGACAAGGTAGGTGCTGTCGTTATTCCCTTTTTGCAGATGTGGAATGAGCCGCAGGGACAGCAGTGTGGCAGCACAGTGGTAAAGGCACGCGCCTGTCTGGTGCCTGTAACAGTCCTGCTGGTGGCTCTGAATGGCCTTGGCTGGAGGCTGTGGCACTGTGGGCTTCAGAGTAAAGCAGGGTCAGATCTTGGCTCTACCATCTTTTAGCTCAGAGACCTGGCAAATCAGTTTGCGTGTCAGAGCTTCCGTTTCCCATCCGTGACACCGCTGCTTCTCAGGTGTAAGTTCTTGGCCAAATTACTTTTCTTCTTCAACCTCAGTTGTGTCGTCTATGAAAATGGGGTTGGTCTGAGACTTGAGAAAGATGGGCGCAGGTCCAGTGGTTGGTCCACAGCCCTATCGTGGGATGAGTTTTCTGGGAAGCTGACTGCGAGATGGAGGTTATTAGTGTGCAGGGAGTTTCCGGGGAGCGCTCTAGGGACCAACACTTGTGGGGAAGGGAAGGAAGCAGGATTGGGCAGAGGGAGGGGGGCTGTCCCCACAGAGGCCTCTGCCAACCACAGGGGTGTGCTGCGGTGGAGATGACCTTCAGAGCTGTCCCAGGTGGAGGTGAGGGAGCTGGATCTTTACATCCTCTCGGCTGGATGCAGACTGCCCTGTGCAAAAGGGCACGGCTGGGGCTGGACAATTCCCTCAGCCAAGGGCAGTCCCTGGAGAGGGCTGGCATTACCCCCTTTCCATTCTCTGTTATTTGGAATACAGTAAGTTCAGCAGATACGCAAGAGGAAGAAGGTTTTGGAGTTAAGCTCTAGAAGGAGAAGCATCAATATATATTATTTGAAATCCTGTAGGGAAGGTTTTTTCTTTCTCCCAAATGGGACATTTGAATGATTATGCTAAGTGTATATAGTTATGACAGCATAACCAAGGACTGTCCTGGGCCACCCAGGGCCACAGCAGAGCTGAGAGTAGGTAAGAGTGCAAGCTCTTGATTTGAAGGGCCATGAGTTGGAATTCTGGCCCGTCATTGAAGAGCTGTGTGACCTTGCCCAAGTTGCCTCACCACTCTGAGCCCTGGAGTCTCTTTCTTCCTACGGCTGTTTTGAGTAGATGAGCTAACGCCTGGAAAATGCCTGGCCCAGAGCAGCCAGCGGTGAAAGCAGTCATTATCATCATCTAACTGTTTGACTTTGGGGACAAGGAGGGATTTCCCCAAGCTCTCACCTGCTGGGAGCAAAATCTTGCCTCTCTCTGCCCCTTTGCGTTCCTTGCCCTCCTGCCCTCGACCGTGAAGGCGTTGAGCTCCCTCTGAGAAGGCTGCCAGGCCCAAGCTGAGTCTCCAGAGTGAGAAGGTGGTGTCTAGCTCCCCCTACACAGTGCTGCCAGGAGGGGAATGCAGGGAACATTTGGATTCCTATGTGTCTAAGGAACATGTCCTATATGCCCACAGGGCTGGTGCCATACTGGGGCAGCTGCCTGGCTTGTTCTAAGCTCCAGTTAAGGGAATCTTTGGGTTAGGAGGACAAGCAGGGTTGTCTCCCTCCTGGGGGCTTCAGTGAGTAGCCGGGCCACAGAGGAACAGAAAGCTCACCCTGCAGCCACCAGCCCCCTGGGGTGGGCAGCCCGGGGTTTCTCTCCAGAGTGAGGCAGGCTCCTTGCCCCGGGCCTCAGCTCAGAGTCTAGGAGCAAGACGGCTTTCCCAGAGGGAAGGGAGGGAGCTGGGACGTCTCTTTCCTCTAACATGGGCTATGACTTGAAAAAGGTTCTAGGCCTGCACTGTCCAATATGGTAGCCACTAGCCGTTTGTGGTTGAGCTCTTGAATATGGCCACTGTGACCTGAGATGTGTTCTCAGTGTGACAGACACTGGCTTCCAGAGACTTAGTAAGAGAAGCATGTAAAGTACCCACTAACAATTTTTTATATTGCTTACCTATTGAAATGATTAAATTGTAGGTATATGGGTTTAAATAAAATGTCTTATTATAATTAAGTGTACTGCTTTTTACTTTTTGAATGTGGCTACTAGAACATTTTAAAATGACATGTGTGACTGACATATTTTTCTTGGACAGTGTTGTTGCTCTAGACCCATTCAGGCCCCGAGGAGAAAGCCCAACACCTTCACCGACCAGATGGGGAAACCGAGGTCTGGAAAGGGACAAAGAAGTACTCTTAGCCACTGAGTGGTTGACAGGGAACTAAGCCTTCCATCTTCTGATTTTGAGCCTAAGAAACCTTTTTGTAATACCTTTTAAGGTCATAGATACTGGGCTGTGGGGGGAAGCTGGGATGTTTAGGAAGGTGTCTAAACTTTTCTGGTTGTCATGCCAACGCCCTGATGAATGGCTCCCATCTGGAAGGAGCACAGTGAGTGGCTGAAAGTGGGGCTTTGGCTCTGCCTCTCGCTGACCGTATCTTGTCTTCTCTCCAGACTTCAGTTCTCTCATCTCTGGAAGGAGCATAATGATCTCAACCTTGCAGTGTTTTCACGAGAGTTAAACCGGAGGCTGTATACGGAGCCCTCAGCACAGGGCTGGAAGCAGGAAATGCTCAGTTAATGTGAGCTGCTGTTGTCATTGTTTGGTACCCTTGTGTCCCCGCAGCAGAGGGGGCCGGCCTTCAGGAGTTCTCGGCTGCCCCAGGGAGCCAGGTTCAGAACATCTCAGGTTTTGTACCAGGGTGGCATCAGTGAGGTCCTGAAGACAGGGCACACTGAACTGGCCTGTCTTCTCCTTCTCCACCTCCACACCTCCATCTCCTCCCCAGACTGGCCCTGGAGGAAATTCCTAAATTTAGTGCAGGGTTAGAGCTGGCTTTGTGAGCTACTAGGAAGTGACTTTGTCAGGTGAACAGGAGTCCATGTGGGTCAGCAGCTAAGAGCTAGGAGTTGAACAGACCCAGGTTTGGATCTGGGTTCAACTTCTTATAAGCTGTGTGACCTTAGGCCAGTTACTTCACCTCTCTGGGCCTCACTTTCCTCTTTATTCCCCAAATGGGAATTATATTAATTCTTCCTTTAAAGTATGGCTACAGAGTACAAGAAATTGTCCGTGTAAAGGGCTTGTGCTTTGAAGGCGTGCAAGGAGGTAGAAGCTGTTCTTGTGAATTATGTATCCTTCTGTGCTGATCCAAGCGTCTCCCCTGAGAATGAAATTGCCC